AAAAAAAAAAAAAAAAAAAAAAAAAAAAAAGTTACTCTCATTAAACCGAACTCCTAAAGACAAGGACTGCCCCATATTTACCTTTGCATATGGAACATGCCATTGGCCTTGCCCACATAATCCTTTCGTTCCACCAGCAGGCAGCTTTGTTGAGAATTTTGTTTTATCTGCAGACATTAAGATATTGTTTGGTCATCTGTACAGTAGAATATGTCAGCTGCCATTCCATTCTAGGGAATGAGGCAACTGTACCACAGGCATACCAGAGGTAGAGAAAAAGGAGCAGTGTTGTTCAAGTTCTGTCACCTGCCTGCCTGAGAGAGAAGCAAAACCTGAAAGAAGGCAAAAGCTGAAAGTCTCAGCCTCAGCTTCTCTTTGCTTTTAGATGCTATCTGTGAGCAGCAGTTGATAATGTGCATAATATCTGGCAACAGGCCAGATGTGGATGACATCATTGAGTACTGCCCAAGGGAAATTATCAGCCTCATGAAGCTCTGCTGGGAAGCGAATCTGGAAGTTCGGCCGACATTTCCTGGTAAGAGCATCTTTTCTGACTGTGTAGGATGCATCCTGTGTGGTGATTTTCCTAGTAAGATGTTAGGAACTTGGTTTGAATCTTCAGAAAACTGAGTTCCACTTTACTTGTGGTTTTAAACTGATTTCCTAGATTTCAAACATGTTGTTCAATGCAAAGAAACCATCTCTCTCAAAAGCATGAAGGCGCCTAAGGCCTTAGTGTTCCCTTTTTTGTAATTAACTTTTTAACTTGGGTTACAATATATGTAACATTAAATTTAACATTGTAACTGTTTTCAAGTGCATTGTTCAGGGGCAGTAAGAACAGTCCCATTGTTGTACACTCACTCTCCATCATCCCTCTTTCTGCCCCTAGCAACCCTCATTCTACTTTCTATCTCTATGAATTTAACTGTAGTGAGTACCTTATATAAGTGGAACCATACAATATTTGTCCTTTTGTGTCTGGCTTATTCCACTTAGCATGATGTCCTCGAGGTTCATCTGTGTTGTAGCATATGTCAGAATTTCTTTCCTTTTCATGGCTAAATAGTATTCCATTGTATGGATAGACTGCATTTGTTTATCCATTGATCCGTCTATGAGCCCTTAGGTGGCTTTCACCAGCCTTCTTGCTTCTTCACTTCTTTTATTTCTGTCCCCTCCCTTGTTTAGCTGGCATCTTTAGAAATGTATTTTGCCAGTTAGATTGGCCCTGTCCTAGAGGGAGGATGAAAAGGACCTGGGTGTTTGCTGAGCAGTATTCTATGGTGTGGATATACCACAGTTTGTTTATTCACTCCTTGAAAGACTTGTTTCCAATTCTTAACTGGTTGGGACTAATGCAGCTGTAAATACATGTTCTTATGTGGATATAAACCTGAATTTCTCTGGAATAATACCCAGGAGTGCAATAGCTAGGTTTTATGGTAGTTTCATCTAGTTTATTTTAAAGATTCCCAAACATTTTCCTAGAGGTGCTGTGCCATTTTATATTCAGTGTCTGAGTGATACAGTTTCTTGCATCTTCACCAGCATTGGGTACCCAGGCTACTTACACGTCTATTCAGCCAACTACAGATTTGAGTATTCCCCCAACCCCCACTGTAGGTTTGGTAATTCATTAGAAAGACTCATAGAACTCAAGAAAACATTTTACTTATGTCTTTTTATTATAATGGGTACAATTCAGAAACAAAGGGAAGAGATGCGTAAGGTGAGGTATGGTAAGAGGGTGTACAGAGCTTTCAAGACACACCACGTTCCAGTGCTTCTATATGTTTAGCAACCTAGAAGTTCTCCAAACCTTACCATTTAAGGGGATTTACGGAAGTTCCATTACATAGGCATGATTGATTAAATCGTGGTCATTGGTGCTTTCGCTTAATCTCCAGTTCCTTTCCCCTCACTGGAAGTCAAAGATGGAGCTGGAAGTCCCAACCTTCTAATTATAGCTTGATCTTTCTGGTTGCTAGCCCCCAGTCTGAAGCTCCCTAGTTTTCTGACCCCACCCAAAAGACACTCTTAGAAGACTCCAAAGATTTTAGGTGCTACCTGCCATGAACAAAACCAAACCTTCCTGATTCTCCAAGGTGTCTTCTTTTATTGTTTTCTCTCTGTTTAGAGAACTTTCCTTAACCATTCTTTTAGGATATGTCTATTGTCAATAAATTCTCTTTGTTTTTCTCTGAAAATGTCTTGGTCTTTCTTTTGTTCCTAAAGGATATTTTTGCTGGGTATAAGATTCTATGTTGATAGTTCTTTTCTTTCAGGACTTCAAAAATATTGTGCCACTTCTTTCTGACCTCCGTGGTTTCAATTGAGAGATCTTCTGTCATTCTACATTTTTTTCCTTATAAATAAGGTGTTATTTTTCTCTTGCTGCTTTCAAGACTTTGTCTTTATTTTTCAGAGATTTAATTATTATTTGTTTTGGTGTGGCTTCCTTTGGGTTTATTCTGTTTAGGTTTTGCTCAGCTTCTTGAATCTAGGTTAATGCCTCTTATCATATTTTGGAAGCTTTCAGCCATTATTTCTGTCAGTACTTTTTAAGCCCCACTCTTTCTCTTTTCCTTCTGGAATTCTGACGACATAAAAACTATATCTTTGGTTTAAACTATAAAAACTATAGTCCCACAGGTCCTAAGGCTTTGTATTTTTTTTTTCAGATAATTTTCTCTCTCTTGTTCAGACTGGATAATTTCTATATTCTGTCTTCCAGTACACTGATTTTTCTCTCTCCTCCATTCCACAGTTGAACCTGTCTACTCAGCTTTTTATTATATTTTGGTCATCAAAGTTTCAACTCTAAAATTTATATTCTCCCCTTTTTTGCTGAGACTTTCTATTTTTCATTTGTTTCAGGCAGGTTCATAACTATTAATTGAATCGTTCTGATCACGGCTATTTTAATATCCTTGACGGGTAATTCTAACATTGCCAACATTCAGTGTTGGCATCTATTGATTGTCTTATTTCATTCAGTTTGGGACCTTTCTGATTCTTAATATAATGAGCAAGTTTTCTGTTGAAACTTTTACATGTTACTACTATGTTATGAGATTCTGTATCCTCTTTAAGCCTTCTTTTTTAGCTGAACTTTTCTGACACTGCTCTGACAAGGGAAGAGTGGTGGCCACCTTAGTAGTGCTGGGTGCAGGTAGAAGTTCAGCCTCTCCACTCAGCCCCATTGACGCTCAAGGTCAGAGGCTCCTCTTCACTGCAGGTCAGGGGTGGGAATTCTGGCAAAGTGCACATAGTCCCCACTGACAAGAGGTGAAGGCACCTCATTACCACTGGACAATGTTAGAAGTCCTGATTCTCCCCTAGACCTCCTCTGACACTTCCCCAGTGGGGAGGGGAAAGAGGGTTTTGTTATTGCCATGTGGGGCAAATCCAGGCTGTCCTTGTGTTCTACTGACATCAAGGGAATGGAGGGGCTCATTATCAGCTGGCAGGTAGGACAGCCTGGCTTCCAGTTGGGCCTCATCTGTCATTACCCTCGTGGGGGTGTTGGGTTTCCTTATTACTGTCTCATGAGATTGGATGTCTAGGCTCTCCATTTGGCCTTAGCTGCTGTGGGTGGGGGTGGAGCCACAGGGTTTTTTATGTGGTAATTGGCTGGAATAGAGTGGTTATTGACTAAAGGCTTTCTCCTATCCAAGTACTAACCAGGCTTGACCCTTCCTAGCTTCCAAGATCAGACAAGATGGGGTGCATTCAGGATGGTATGGCTGCAGACGGACTAAAGGTTTTGTCTTGGTAGGCTGCCTCTTGCTTAGTTCTCTGGCTAGAAAGAGCAGGCTTTGGTTGGAGATTTTTTGTCTGAGGTGTTGATGGTTCGAGGTTGCCACCTTTTCAGCCAGGTCTGAGATATATGAGGAAAAGAGAAAATCTAGTAAACTCACTATTGTGTGTTTCATCTGATCCCAGGGTTTCCTGCTGGTCTGCCTTCTTCTTTTCTCCTTCAGAGTCTCTGTATATTTGTTTTAAAAATAATGTCTAGGATTTTTTTTTGTTGTACTTAAAAGGAGGAATAAGAAAAAAGTATGTCCACTCCCATCGTCCTGGAACTGGAAGTTTTTTTTTTTCTTTTAAGGCTAACAGCTCTAAGCCGTTGCACTAAATCCTCGCTCTGAGTATCCCATCCTCTCATAAATTCAATTCACAAGGGACAGAAACACGGAGTTTGCCCATCCATGTTCAGCTGGAGATGAACTCACATCAGGGAGCGGTTTGCGTTGCAGGCAGAGAAACCGCAGCACGAATAAAAGGCACAAACAGCACAGGCTATTTAGGCAGGAACACCTGGTTTCCAGTGTTAGCCTATCCCTTGTTCTGTCTCCATCAGAGTCAGTGATTTGGAGCTTAAATTTTTATTTTACTGCTTTGCCCACAGATTGAGGTAGGTAATTCAAAGATAATAGATGGCTAATATTTTTATGTTAGAAAATAATTACGAAATTTAAAATACTATTTTATTCTTACAGGCATTGAAGAAACATTTAGGCCTTTTTATTTAAGTCAATTGGAAGAAAGCGTAGAAGAAGACGTGAAGAGTTTAAAGGTAGGCAGTATAGCAGATGCTCAAAATATTAACATATCAAAATATAGTCTGTCATGAAAACCAAAACAATGTAATTTTTTACTGAGATTTGAGGTAAGCTAGCCTGGTAAACGTATAAAACAAAATGGGCAGTTGTCTGCAGATATCATCCTGTTGGCATACTGGAACCATTTCTCCTTCAAAACTCACAAAATGAGAGAAAACGTGTATAGCCATATGAAACAAAAGCACAATGTCGCTGGCAAAGAGGGAAAGTACCATAAGTGAATCAGTCATTTTGAGGACTTCTTGAAAGATAGTCCACAGAGTGATTCTGCTGAGACATATAACAGAAAAGGAATACTAACCCAAGACATAACGCTGAGGAAGAAGTACTGGAGGGGCAGTCTTGGGTCAGTGTACAGAAGTAACAGCATGGTCACCTGAGACACTGACAGGAGAGTCATTTGAGAACTTCATTCACATTCTTTAGGAAAGTTGGCTTCTCTCCCTACTCCCCCTATACTTAGCAACAGATGGCAGTACCATCTCCCCAAGACTGAAGCAGGGAGATGGTATCTGGGGTGAGAAGGGTATGACAAGACCCAGTTAGGAACCAACCAACTAAGAGGAATGGAGACCACCCTGCCCCACTGCCAACTCTGTAATCAAACTACTGTCATACATCTTCCAGCAACTTACCTCCATAATCATGTACAGGAGACTACAGCAAATAAAACAGGCAAACAGACAGAGATTTTAAAATATAATTTTTAAAAAAGATTAGAATCAGCTAAGATAAACTCAAAGGCAAAAAAACATTCCCCCAAACAATCAGGAATATTTCATAATGATAAAAGACTCAATTCATCAGGAAGGTATAACCACTTTAAATGTGGATCTACCCTCAGTAACATTGTAACCGGGTTTTTTCTTGAGCGCTGGTGAGGCACAGCTCCCCCTAGAGAATGCTGTGAGCTCTTGGCCTTCAGCCTCTTAAAGAATAAGCGGTGGGGCCACTGCAGGTACACCGAATGCTAGTAAAAGTAAATATCGGACCCAAGAAGTGTTGCAGAAAAGTGATTTTATTTAGGTAGAGAAAAGAGAAGGAAAGGAGAAGAAGAGAAAGGCTTACACGAAGAGTGTGGAAGGGGATTCCAGAGGGGAAATCCCAGAGGGAGCTCCCACCGTGCGGGAGGGCATTCCAGAGAGCTGGAAATCCGGCGAAGGAGCGGGGGAATTTATCCTGGGAGAAATTCCCACCTTCCCAAGTTCCTCTGGCCAATGAAAGCAGTTCCTTAGAACTTCCGCTGGGGTGACTGACTTTAGTTTCTTCCCGTGCCCGTGAAATTCAAACATAAAATGTTAAATATCCCGGATGGAGAGAGATGGGAGGGGGGTGTGGCGCTGGGAAATTTTTGCCCTTAAAACTACACCCCCTCATGGACCTGGAAAGAGAACACATTCCCTCAACATGGCCTCAAAATCAGCACAGCAAAAAGTGACAGAACTCAAAGAGAAACAGACAAATCCACAACCTACAGCTTAAGATTTTAATACACATCTCTCTTCAATTGATAGAACAAGCAAACAAAATTCAGTAAGGATGTAGAAGACATGAAGAACATGACTAACACACTTGGCCTAATGGAAACACATGATATGCTGTATCTAGTAACTGCAGAATACCCACCTTTAAAGGCTTTTCAAGAACATGCAGAGCATTTTCAAAAACTGACCATGTGTTAGAAAATCAAACAAGTCTCAAACAGTTTAAAAGGATTGTAGCCGGGCGCGGTGGCTCAAGCCTGTAATCCCAGCACTTTGGGAGGCAGAGGCGGGTGGATCACGAGGTCAAAAGATCGAGACCATCCTGGTCAACATGGTGAAACCCCGTCTCTACTAAAAATACAAAAAAATTAGCTGGGCATGGTGGTGCGTGCCTGTAATCCCAACTACTCAGGAGGCTGAGGCAGGAGAATTGCCTGAACCCAGGAGGCGGAGGTTGCGGTGAGCCGAGATCGCGCCATTGCACTCCAGCCTGGGTAACATGAGTGAAACTCCGTCTCAAAAAAAAATAAAAATAAAAAATAAAAAATAAAAAAAAATAAAATAAAAGGATTGTAATCATATAAAAATGTCCTCTGACTGTATTTCAATTATGTTCAAAATTAATTTTGAAAAGGTAATTGGAAAGTCTTATGTGGTTAGAAGTAAAGAAAAATACTTTTAAATATCCCTTAAGTAAAAAAAAAAAAGATAGAAATCACAATGTTATTTAGAAAGTATTTTTCACTGAAGGCTAACAAAACACTACATATTAAAATTATAAAATGTACTTTGCAAAAGAGTACTTATTAGTATAACCTTAATAAATATTTTTATATATTTAAGAAAATAAGAAAGGCTGAAAATTAATTAGCTAAACATTTATCTGAAGAAGATAGCAAATCTAGAGAAAAAATAAGTAAATAATAAGGAAAAGAGCATAAATTAATGACACAAAAAAATAACTAATAGAGGATCAAAAAAGCCAAATATTGGTTATTTGAAAGGCCATTAAAATAGACTAATTAAGACTGATTCAGCTAGGTGTGAGGTATGTGCCTACAATCCCAGTTACTTGGGAGGCTGGGGTGAGAGGATCATTTAAGGCCAGGACCCCATCTCTAAAAAAATAAAAGTAAAAAATTAATGAGACATGGTGGCATGTTCCAGTAGTCCCAGGAAGGCTGAGATGGGAGGACTGCTTGAGCCCAAGAGTTTGAGGCTGGAGTAAGCTATGATTATGCCACTGCACTCCAACTTGGGTGACAGAGTGAGAATCTACTCCTAAAAAAAAAAAAAAGACTGACAAAGGAGACAAGATTGAAATCCATGAATAAAGAGGAATCACTATAGGTCCTGCAGACATCAAATGGTATTAGAATATTATGAACAACTCTTTGTTGACTATTTTAAAATTAGATAAAATGTACCAATGTCTTTTATAAAAAGTATAATTTAGTAAAGCTAACTTAAATAGAGATAGAAAATTTGAATGTTCCTCTAACTATTAAAAGAATCAGTGATTCAAAAAATCTTCCTCTAGAGAATATCCCACAACTAGATAACTTCATCAATGATTTCTACCAAATATTCAATGAAGACATTATGTCAATTTTACACAGCTTTCTCTAGATAATATGGAAGAGAGAACTCTTCCAGATTCATTTTGTGTAAGCATAACCGTGATTCCCAGAACTGGGAAAGGTGCAACAAAGGAAAATTACAGACCAATCTTGTTAACAGTATGGATGCAAAAGTTCTAAATAAAATACTGTAAGCAAAAATGAATTTATCAAAGAAGAAAAGCAAAATAGATTTATCCCAAGAATTGTAAAGTTAGTGTAACTTTATGAAAATATGTCATTATAATTTATTACGTTGTTTTAGTAAATGAGAAAAAGATGTATCTTTTCAACAGATGCAGAAAAATGTGTTGATAAAACGTAAGGTTTATTCATGATTAAAAATACTATCAAGTCAGAAAAGAAATCCATTTCTGATAATAGGGTATCTTGAAATGACCAGAAGTTTTGTTTTGTATTTATTTTAACAAAATGTTAACAGCCTTTTCTTTTCTTTTTTTTTTTTTTTTTTCAGGCAAGGTCTTAGTCTGTTGCCCAGGCTGGAGTGCAGTGGCGCGATCACAGCTTACTGCATCCTTGACCTCCCAGGCTAAAGTGATCCTCTCACCTCAGCCCCCACCCGAGTAGTTGGGACCACAGGCATGCACCACCATGCCTAGCTGATTTTTGTAATTTTTGTAGAGACAGGGTTTTGCTATGTTCCCCAGGCTGGTCTCAAACTCCTGAGCTCAAGCCATCTGCCCTCTTGGGATTATAAGGCGTGAGTCACTTTGCCCAGCCCACCTTTCTTTGAGATAATATGCAAGACCAAGCTACTTACCACCCCCATTAGGTAACACACAATAAGATAATATTATATGTCTGCACATTGGCAAACATGGCAAAGCTTTTCTAAACAACATGAAATGAATCTAAATAAACAGTGAAATATGTTTATGGATGAAAGACTTGACATGCTAACAGCTGTCTATTTTCCCCAATGTCATTTATAAAAGGAGTGCAATCCTAATTAAAAGCACAACAAAATTCTTTATGGAATTCAACAAGCTGACTCTTAAGTCTGTGTGAAAGAAAAAAAGGTACAAAGATAGCCAAGAAAATTCTGAAGAAGGCGATCAGAACAGCATAGTACTATAGCAAGGATAATCAAATATATTAATAGAAAAGGTGAGTCTTTGCGGTTGGGTTTTCCAGAAGCAGCCGCTGAGCTGGAGATTGGGTGCAAGGAAGGTGTGGGAAGCAGGAATGAGCAGAGGAAGAAGTCAAAGGGCAACGAAGCCTGACCAAGAGCTCTGGCAGCAGGGAGCACTGAGCACATGCCTCTCTGGCTTGTCCCACACCGGACTGAAATGCCCAAGGCTTTCTCCCCTCGCCTCACTCAGTCACTGACTGTAGCTGCTCAGAAGGGGAGTGCTGGGGCATAGAAGTTCACAGCTGCAGGCTGTTTGCTCGCTCAGCTCCTTGCAGCAGGGCAGCAAATCCCTTCTTGAGAGGGAATCTGAGAGGCCCATCACTGTCTACCACAAAGTCCAAAATCAATCCATGTATGTTTCTTAAGCTACACATAAAATTCACAAGGTGTAAAGAAAAAGATTATTGTATATGACCCCATAAAAATGGAAAGATAGTTGGAAAGGAGAAATTGTATTTAGCAAAGGATTAATATCCAGAATATTTAATAGAGTACCCACAAATAAAAATAACTCAAAAGAAAAATAATAGACAAAAAACATAGACAACTCAAAAAAGAAAGTGAACACCACATTTCAGAAAAGTTATTTGGCCTTACCAACAGAGAAAAGCAAAATGAGTCTTACAACTTTTCATCCATTAGATGGAACTTTTTGAAAGATTGGTAATACAATGTTTTGGTGAAAATTCAGAATAACAAGCAGTCTTCTGAAGTATTGGTAAGAATGTAAACTGGTGAAGTTTATTAGAAGGCAAAGCACCCAACAAATTCTACAAGCCCATAAGTTTGCTGCAATTTTACTCTCAGTAATCTATACTACTCACATGTGCACTCAAAGATGTAGCTTCAGTTCTTTGCACCTTAGTTTATAAGAGTGAAAAACTAGAAAAAACCCAAATGTCCATAAGTAAATGCCCTAAATTATGATTCATCTAAACTACAGAATACTATATAGCCATTTAAAAGAAAGAGGTGGAAACTAACGTGTAATAATATAGAAAGATCTTCAAGATTAAATGTTAGTGAAAAGTGTAAGTTACAAAACAATATTTACAGTGTGATCTTTTTAATGTTAATATGTATATAAACATATAACATATATAAACATGTTATATATATATAAAAAAAGTATATATAACATGTTTATGTTATATAATATATATATAAACATATATGTTTATATACGTCATATTGTAATGCATATAAACAATGTTGGCCAGGTGCAGTGGCTCATGCTTGTAATCCCAGCACTATGGGAGGCTGAGGTAGGCAGATCACTTGAGGTCGAGAGTTGGAGACCAGCTGGCTAACATGGCAAAACCCTGTCTCTATTAATAATACAAAAAAAATTAATCAGATTTGGTGGTGCACACGCATAATCCCAGCTACTCGGGAGGCCGAAGCATGAAAATTGCTTGAACCCGGGAGATAGAGGCTGCGGTGAGCCAAGATCATGCCACTACACCACCCTGGGCAACAGAGTGAAACTGTGTCTCAAAAAAAAAAATTATACACACACACACACACACACACACACACACACACACACACACATATACATGCGTATATATACACATATTTGTGTGTATTGTGTGTGTGTGTGTGTGTATTTGTGTATTTCTAGAATGTGTGTGCAAATTCCTAGAGAGAGAATAAGAGTGATAAGCATCACATTCTGGATAAGGCTTACCTCTAGGGAATGGAAGAGTAGGGGCTGAAAGAATGTTTGGGTATTATTCTGTGATTCTGCATTGCTTGGAACTTTGGGTTTTTTTGTTCGTTTGTTTGCTTTTTTGAGACAGAGTCTCACTCTGCCCTCAGGCTAGAGTGCAGTGGCACAGTCTCTGCTCACTACAACCTCCACCTCCCAGGTTCAAGTGATTCTCATGCCTCAGCCTCCCGAGTAGCTGGGATTACAGGCGTGCATCACTATGCCCAGCTAATTGTTTTGTATTTTTAGTAGAGACAGGGTTTTGCCATGTTGGCCAGTTTGGTCTCAAACTCCTGACCTCAAGTGATCTGCCTGCCTCAGCCTTCAAGATTGCTGGGATTACAGGCATAAGCCACCATGTCCAGCCTGTTTAAATCTTTCAAAAGGAGTTTGTACTTACATATTCATGTAATAAAAGTAACTATAAAAAGAAAATCAATTTTATAAAATTAATATAACAAATATAATTTTCATATTAGGCCAGGTGTGGTGGTTCATGCCTATAATCTTAGCACTTTGGGAGGTTGAAGTGGGTGGATTTCTTGAGGCCAGGAGTTCAAAACCAGCAACATGGCAAAAACCCATGTCTACAAAAAATACAAAAATTAGCCAAGCGTGGTGCCACATGCCTGTAGTTCCAGCTACACAGGAGGCTGAGGTAGGAGGCTCTCTTGAGCCTGGGAGGTCAAGGTTGCAGTGAGCCATGATCTCACTACTGCAGTCTAGCCTGGATGACAGAGTGAGACCCTATCTCAAGAAAAAAAACAAACAAACATATATATATTAATTAAAAACAATAAACACACAGCTGGGTGTAGTGGCGCAAGCCTGTAATCCCAGCTCTTTGGGAGGATGAACTGGGAGGATTGCTTGAGCCCAGGAGTTGGAGGCTTCAGTGAGCTATGATTGTGCCACTGCACTCCAGCCTCAGCAACAGAGGGAGATTTGATCTCTAAAAACAAACATATAAAGAGACAAAAACAATAATAGAATGCTGCAAAGTGGGAACATAATACCATCTGTCATTCACCCCTAGATCATGCATGTATTCATTTAACTAATATTTTTTGACTACCTATTTATATAGCAGGCATTCTGTTAAGAGCAAAATACAAATAAAACTAGGAAAAAACTTGAAGGAAAAAATGCCGAAGTGTTAACGTTTTATCTTTGGGTGAAGAGAAAAACTATGGATAGGGTTTAAGAATTTATAATTTTCGGCCGGGCGCGGTGGCTCAAGCCTGTAATCCCAGCACTTTGGGAGGCCGAGGCGGGTGGATCACGAGGTCAAGAGATCGAGACCATCCTGGTCAACATGGTGAAACCCCGTCTCTACTAAAAATACAAAAAATTAGCTGGGCATGGTGGCGCGTGCCTGTAATCCCAGCTACTCAGGAGGCTGAGGCAGGAGAATTGCCTGAACCTAGGAAGCGGAGGTTGCGGTGAGCCGAGATCGCGCCATTGCACTCCAGCCTGGGTAACAAGAGTGAAACTCTGTCTCAAAAAAAAAAAAAAAAAAAAAA